AGAAAAATCCAGTAGTCACATATTTTCATGCTTTTCATGTCAAGAATATATCCCCTGAGGGCGTGTGGCAGAATATCAGGAAAAATGCAGGAGTTGAAGGATAGTTGTGGCATGCCTTCTGCAGCTTCAGTTTTACAAAGATTTTTCAGGGAAACATACTTTCTTATGGTTATGCAAACAAAATTAGTCTGAATTCTGTCTTTCTGTGGTAGTCAGATTGGCAATCGAAGAGGAATTGGGGTGATAGTGTTTTATTTGCCATGATAGTTATCAGGGGAGACCGCTTTTCTGTTCTGGAAGTGCAGTGTGTAGAAAATGTGATACTTTTAGATTATTGGGAAGCACAGCTGTACTGGTAGGGGCACAGTGCACAGCAAGACTCCCACTTCCGTGAAAACACACAGTGCTGCTGACGTGTCCGGCCTGCGTGGCTGAACATGGGTCCCTGGATTAGTAAGGGATTATGGGATTTTGGTAAGAGCCACATGTTTGTTTATATGTGTTTGTTACCTTAATCAGTCAGTTTTAAATTTGTTTTAAAAGAGATATATGAGAATTTGCTAATTGTAAAAAATACCCTTGTACATATGTGTATGCTTATTTATTTGTTCATGTAGCAAATATTAGTTGTGCACTTACTGAAGACAAACATATGGAAAGTAAAAGTTACTGATTATAATGTCTAGGCAGGTTATTCTAACATGTAATACAGGCAGAAGGAAAGCCTGGAAAAGAAAAGAATTACTCACCTAATAAGAATCACAAAGTTGATTTATTTAACAGTTATTTTCTAAGATTGAATGTTCAGGGTAAAAATGTGATTTTTTTTTCTTGACACTGAGCATGATCATTACAGTGAAAATAAAGCTTGAGAGTTGGATGAGGAGAGTTTATTGTGGGGATTTGAACATTTTAAAATGTACTGCTAGACAATAACAAGTACTGGCAAGGATGTAGAAAAACCAAATTCCCATACATTGCTGTGGGGAATGTGAAATGGTAATTCCACTCCTATGTGGCTAAGCAAATTAAAGCTGTATGTCTGCACAAAAAACTTGTACGAGGTGGACATACAGCGGGCGGATGAATGGAAAAAGAAATGTGGCATATCCAGACAATGGAATATTATTCAGCGTAAAAAGGAATGAAATTCTGTCGTTTGTGACATGTTTACCTCCTCATCAGTCTGGCATATGTTGACAAACATTAATTGAGAAAATATAGTACTGAAGATGCAAAAAAGGTAAAGTATACTACTTACTGGTTATGTTTCCCAGCCAAGTCTTCAAAAGTATAAATAGATTGCATTTAATGCATCATCTACACTTTCAAATAATATATATGATTGATAAATTATTGTACTATCCTGTAACAGCCAAGACCAAGATGTATGTTTTTTCCTTCACTGTAGATGGTTTAAGCTGTGACTGAGCATGTAACCAAACTTACTGAGGAACTGCCTACTGTTGGCAGCTTTCTAATTGTGTGTTGTGGCTTTGCCTGCAGAAAGCTATACTAAGTCCATTGTGAAGGCTCGGTTATGTTTCTGGAATTTTTCAGATGTCTAGGCCGTTCTTGTGAGCATTCTACGAGTCCTTTGCATTAAACAGTAGTTGATTTGGTGTTTTCAGCTTCACATAGGGAAAGGAGTCAAGACTTTGTGGCATTAAACTGACTAAAGTTTATCATTTATTTATTTATTTTGAGAAATATGAATGAGACCGTTTCACAGCTGATTAATAGGACAGTTTTGATAGTCAGTACACTGTACATATCTTCTTAGTGGTTATCCACAGTACAAGAAGCAGACAGGATATCCTGTCCAAACACTGTTAGTACACCTCTTTCTTCTCATTGAGTTAAGCGAAAGTAGCTGTAAATTTATCCTAACTATTTTGTATATATAAATACAAAATGATCTTTCTTTTGTATCCTTTTTCTCTTTTTGTCCTAAGTTAGGTGATTTTTTTCTTTTTTCTTTTTTTTTCTGGCCCCTGACTGAAGTTTATATGTTGACTCTTATTTTTCCTACTAGCGTTTCCCTGAGGAAAATCACCTAACCTCCCATCTGATCTCTTAATTCTTACAATAATTCTCAAGTTGCTACAGAGAAAAATTAATTTTAGGTAAAATAATTTACTCAGAGAAACCAGAGTAAACCAAAAATAGTTTTCAGTTTTATCATTAAGGTAATAGATAAGGAGAGGATCCAAAATACAGTAGAAACAAAGCACTTGCTACAAATTCTGTGGTCACCATTTGAAAGCGCTTATTCCACTGAGCCATCTCACTGGCCCCAATTGAGTTTTAAATGTTAAACCACCTTGCTTTTTGGGGGTGAACCTTGCTTGGTTATGGTCTATTTTTATGTTTTGTGGGTTACATTTGTTAATGTCACACTAGGAATTTTGGGAAACATCTTCAATCCCTGTCATTCTTAGTTTTCCTTGTCTAACAATAGAGAAAGATGATACCTCACAAAATTGTATTTGTTTTTTCTAGGCCTTGCTTTTACTATCCTTTGGCCTGAAGCTGTGATATAATGAAAGATTAGCAGGAGGGAGAAATGAGGAAAGGTACAGCTACAGTAGCAGTTAGAAAGGAGAAATGTTTTTTTGAATAGACTGAGCTCTGTTAAGACAGGGACTTTTTTTTTTTTTTTTTTTTCCTTTAACCCCTTACGCCTAACATTACCTGGCACATAGCAGACTGTCAAAAGAATGATGGATTAAGATTGAATGGTGGGATTATATATCATTTGCTATACTTTATTTGTAGATAAATTTAAAGTCAATTTGGACTCAGAACAAGCAGTAAAAGAAGAAAAAATAGTAGAGCAAACTCCAGTGTCTGTCACTGAACCAAAGCTGGCAACTCCTGTTGACCTGAAGAAATCCAGCAAAAAAGCAGAGCCTGTTAGGATGCAGCAGAAGGAAAAAAAATGGTAGGAAAATTGTGTCACTTGTAAAGGAAATGTCTGCTGGGGGTGAGAAGGTCTGTGGGCTTATTGACAGCAGGTAGTTTGCAGTTGAGTCCTAAATTCTGCTTAATATCTCGGGGACACAACTACAACCAAATGAGAAGAGAACTCAGTAGCTTATCTGATGAAGTAGAATGGTGGAATTGGCCAGTTTGGGTGATTTAGGACTCTAAAAAAGTCACATTTTTGTCTCCATTGATCTAAACTAATTGTCTTTTGCCCTTGCACTATTTCTTAATTTAAAATTTGTTAACATGGCATAAATGTGGCTCTGTGTGTGTGTGTGTGCACGCGCACACTCACGCTCATGCTTCACTTCAAATTGCCAAATGAGAAATTACTGTTTCCAGTCAAATTTAAGTGAAAAAGTTCTTTGTTTTCTTTTTATATCAATGAGTTTATTTTTCAAGTGGTAAAATGTAATTAGAAAAGAAAATAAAAAGCACACAAGCTGTTAAAAATGAATCCAGGAATTTGAGACACTACCTCATAGTTGGTAGGAATTAGTCTGTTGAAAGAAATTCTAAAGGACACTGTCGGCACTGATAGGACCACAAAGACCTGACTTGTGGTAAGGTTGGAGCAACTTGAGTAAAAAAATCAACAAAATGGTGATGTTTCACAGAGTGAAGACTGTCCAGTGGGCCTTTCTTCCCAGAAACATACGATATTAGATGGATTACATGTTTAGTGTTGTCACTTATTGCCAAGAACACATTTAGTATTTCTCTATTAAGTGTGATATTAAGTGTAGGCTTTAGTTGATGCACTTTACTAGATTGAGAAGGTTCTTTTCTGTTCCAAGTTTACTGAGGGGTTTTATCATGAATGGGTGTTGGCATTTTTAGTGGATACTTGTTCTACGTTTATTGAGTTACTGAAATGGTTTTTCAGCTAATGCGAATTGCACCAATTGAGGTTAGTTTGGTTTTTTCCTAATATTTTCAGACCCACTTAAAAAAATTTGTTTTGTTTTAATATTTTATTTGTTTACTTGGCAGAGGGTCTCACCACACAGCTCAGACTCGTAGTGGTCCTCCTGTCTCAGCTCAGTCCTAGCACACGCTGGGATTACAGGCATGTGCCACCTTGCCCAATCTCAGTGGCCAGCTCAGAGTACCCAGGGGTGGGGCCAGCGCAGCATGTGGCATTAGGGATCGAACCCGGGTCCTTGCACTTGTCAGGCAGGCGCTTAGACTATTAAGCTATCTCCCAGCCCCCAATTGAGTTTTAAATGTTAAACCACCTTGCTTTTTGGGGGTGAACCTTGCTTGGTTATGGTCTATTCTTTTTATGTATTGTACATTAGATTTGTTAATGTCACACTAGGAATTTTTTGCCTCTGTAGTTTTGTCCTGATTTTTTGTGATGCTAGGGACTAAGCCCAGAGCTGAGGAGCGTTAGGCAAGCATCCTGCCACTGAGCTGCATTCCAGTCCTTCCCTCTGTATTTGTGAGGTCCATGGCTCAGTTATTTTCTTTTAGGTAGTGTCTTTGTCAATTTCAAGGTCAAAATTATGCTAACTTTATAAAATTAGTTGAGATGTGTGTTTTTTGTTTTCTGAAGGAATTTGTATTGATACTTATTAAATGTTTGTCCAAAATTTATCATTGAGTTCAGGCTTGCATAGTCTTCATATGAAGATTCTTTTTATTGTGAATTTAATTTCTTTGAATGGAGTTATTCAACTTCAATTCTTCCTGGATCAAGCTTTAATGAATTATGTTTTTAAAGAAATTTATTTCATCAACCCTTTAATGTCATAAAATTGTTTGCAGTACTGCCTTTTTCTTTGAGTATCTGTAGATATTGAAGAAAAAGAGAAAAATTGAACTTCCTAAGTGTGATAGCATTGAGTAGTAGCTGCTTATTTAATTTTTGTTGACTGATTGGCAGGTCAGTAAGGGAGGTAGAAAAGCGTTCAGAAAGATTCTTCATAATATGGTTATAGTTTTCATTAATCCATAGAGAGAAATGTTCTATTCTGGTCACCTGTAGGTGACCTAGTTGTACTTAGTTAACCTCATATCCTTCAAGAAAGTCTTTGTACTGCAAAAGTAGCTCATTGGGAGAGCACTTTCTTAGCATGTACCAGCCCCTGAGTTCCATACCCAGCACTGAAAAGAACAAAAAAAGTTCTTACTTGTCTGCTTTGACTGGACTTAGGACCATGAGTTATTTAAAAAAAAAAAAAAAATACATAGGCATATGTGAGTGCTTACATTTTTGTTCAGTGTAACATGCATAATTTATTCCTGAATGGCAATAGGGGGAAGCGAGTAGAGTTATCTAATGATGAAACAAAGGAAACTGGAAATGTGAAGAAAAAGAGGAGAAGAATCAAACTTCCTCAGTCTGACAGCAGTGAAGATGAAGGTGGGCATTATTATTAATTTACTAGGGGATCAGTTTTTATTACGATGCTCAAGAACCTAAAAAATTATTATGGGTAATAGAGTATTAATCCTAGCATCAAAGAAATGCAGCCTCCATTTCTTTGTGATATCTATTTTTAGCCTTTTGACCAGAAGTACTTTTTTACTACACATACTAAGACATTCTTTCTGTTTATTAAAGAAAGAGGGTTATTCCTTTGTCTGACTTTATGTGAATCTTTTTAAGAATTGTGATATTCTAGGTATCAGGGGTATTGAAGGTATTCCATACATATTGTTGAAAGGGAATGAACTGTGAACCCTTTAGTTTTAGGCTCTGGGCAGTATTATAAGATAAGCAAGCAAAACAAGGGAAAGAGTGCAGGGAACTTAACGCACTTTTTAAAAGAATAGCAGGTATTCGTGTGAGCCAAGATCTCATGCTAAATCATTTAAAAGGAAATGCACAGAAAGAGGAGGAGGTCAAGAGAAGACATTGGCTGAGTTGATACATTGCATGACTCAGAGCTGGGATTAAGACTGCTGTATTCACTGCTTCAAGAATTTGTGGCACAGTGTGCATAAACCGTTTAGGCAGAATGGGGAAATACAATCCAAGAGAATTCAGCAGCATAGTAAGGTGCATAAACAAATGCAAATAAACTGACACTAAAAGGGATTACAGAAGAATAATGAATGGGAAAAAGGAACCTTCTATCCAAGTACAAAACTAGAAGTATAAGAGTCTTCTCTTAATCAAAAACTGAACATAGTAACTGAGACTCCCCAGAAAAAGTTATTAACTCAATTGTACAAGTGAGTGAAACAAAATTTTATATGTAAGAGATTGTAAGGCAAAAGAAATGGAACAGACCTGATGAATAGTACCAGGTAGTTGATTCTCTCTGATAGAAATACCATTTTGACTTTCTGTGGATTTAGATCCTTTGTTCACAGGTAAGGTTAGGAGCACAGCCTCTGATATCTGGAGAGGAGGGTGCTCCTCAGAGCTATAGTGTTGTTTTGTTTTGTTTTATTTGTTTGTTTTTGAGACAGGATCTCACTGTGTAGTGCAGGTTGGCCTTCAACTTGTTTATGTAACCCAGGCTGACCTGGAGCTCACAGAAGATCCTCCTGCCTCAGCTTGAGGTGTGGTTTATTTAATGGGTCTTTAGAATGAGTAGAGTTATTGCATGATGAGCATTCAAATGTGAATAGAGGTGCTATATTTTCATTCCATGTCTTTGATCAAAAAAAAATTTTTTTTTTGACCATGCTTTCTAAAAAGGTAGATTTCCAAGTAAATGAATGAAATAAAAGACCATTAGGGAACATTCTGAACAGTTAAGAATTTAAATGCAGGTGCATGGGATAAGGCTTACTTTAGGAATATGTGCTAATTGGAATAGTCTCACCTACTTGCAGTGAGAGAGAGTAGATTCTGGAAAAGGCTGTGAAGCTGTCGGCCTATGCTTAAGTTCATTAAAAACATAAAGTACCTACCCATGGTGGCAGGACATGCCTGTAATCCTAGCTGCTTGGTAGGTTGAAGCTAGAGAATTACAAGTTTGAGGCTAGCCTAGACAGTTTAGCGAGAGATCCTGTCTCCATAAACTACGGGCAGCGGGATAGAGCTTAGGGGTAGAGTGCCTCTGGGTTCAATTCTCAGTGCCGCACAAAAAAGTAAACTAGATACTCTGAGGAATTACTGTGCTAATTAGGCTCATTACACACTTCCGAAATATTGCCTGTTTGGTTCCTTTGCCCACAAAAATAATACCTGTGGGTGACGAGAGATACAGGTGGGGTTATTTAGTTTGGAAAGCAGTGCAGAGAAACGTGACAGAGGGAGCAGCCTGTAATAACAGATGACAGCAGTGGACCTCAGAATTTTTTCCCTTTGGCAAATTTTTGGCATCAGATTGAATCTACCATTTTATTCTTAAATTTCTTTGAGAGCAGTGGGATTTTATTTTAAACCTGTACACAGTCTGTAACTTACAACTGTTTTATTTCTGTTACTGTGACATGGTATTTGCTGACTCTGCTGTCTTAATCAAGTCAGTAGCAGAGGAATGGAGTAAATGGCAGAGGTTTGGTATCAGACAGACCTGGGTCTGAACCTTTCTTGCACTACTTACTGTGTGACTTTAGACAACTTTCTTAACATCTTTAATTGCTTGTTGCCTCATTTCCAAAGAAGATATTAGCAGGAAGTCTGTAGTCTTTATTTATGAGCATCAAGAAAGATGGTGTGTAAGAATGCCACGAGTGTTTGCTTGACATGTAGTGGGGTTTTGATTACCCTCAGCCTTGCTGTTGAGGCCACTCCTGTTCAGAGGTAGTAAGTATACTTGCAGGAACCTTCTTTTAGAAAAGTCCCTTTAGCTATGTATTTGGAACTCTCCAACTAAGGGCCAGTTTGTTTTTTTTTTTTTTTTATTTCACCATACCAAGAGTCATAGTCACCACTACAGGTTCTCTTTGTAAACAAACAAAAAGATCCTGAAAGAAATAGCATTAAGAATATCTGTATTGCTAGGAAGAAATAGAGTTGTAGCAACTATGTGTAAGTATTTTTATTCCTACAAGTTGCTTATGAAGAATATTGGGGCCGGGGAGATGGCTCAGTGGAATAAGCCTCGCCTGGCAAGTGCAAGGGCCTGAGTTCAATCCCCAGTTACACACACACACACAAAAAGAATGTTAAGCAAGTGACCCCACCCCTCTTTTAAGGTAAAGATAAGATATTTTGGGGGCTGGGGATAAGATATTTTGGGGCCTGAGTTCAATCCCCGGTTCTGCCAAAAACAAAGGAAAAAAAAAAAGATAAGATAATTTAAAATATCAAGTCCTAGGAAGATGGGAATGCTTTCTAGGAATTTTAATTACCATCTCTGCCGGGAGACTCAGCAAACAAAGGTTACCTTGCTAAATCCCTAAATTAGCTTTACCCACAATTCTTATTCTGCCCCCACACAAGTTGCTTTCCTGTGGCATTCCTTCCTCTGTAGAGCCAAAGAGCTGTGTTCGTGAGTGCATGCCACTGGGATTAAGTGTTTACCTTGAGTAAATCAGGTGACTGTGAAAGTGGAAATGGAGTGAGTACTTGAAACTTCTTTGGCTTCTTCGCTGCCTGAACTTTCCTCCAACCACTGTACTGCATCTGCCATTGTGCCCCAGCTTTTTGAGTAACTGTTCTTCCAGAACAACAAGTTCTCCCTTCTGGGGCCTACCACTTCTCTGGCCTAAGTTCTCATCATGTGCTAGCCTCCCAGAGCTGGATTAATAGTGAGACCTTATTTCTCCCAGAGCTTATGGGGCCCATTTCAAACTTGAAGTGTAAAATTGTTCTGGTTCTTGTTCTGCTACATCTCTTTAGCTCATCTGACCTTGAACCTTCCACTGTCTGAATGTTAACACTGACCTAATCAGGGAGAATTTCACATCCAAGACTTGTGCTAGAAATTTGGAGGTAGCCAGGAGATCCAGGGAGCTGGCGGAGCTAAGCAGCTCACCTGTCTCCTGGCTGGCCATCGGTCAGCTGAAGCCTTCCAGGTTCTATCTCATGGGTCTGACACTAGGACCGCTGTTTCTGAAACTTGAGAAATGATGGGGTTGTCTAGTGGTGCTCTCATTTCTGTAGTGTTGCTTCATCCCTTAATATGCTCTGTATTACTCTCAGTGTAGCAAAACTACTTCATCAGTAGGACAGTCACTAAGTATAATTCCCACATTTTTAAAGAGAACAGAAAAATAGATAAAACATTAGAAACGATACAGGATTTTGTGAAACAAGAAGATAGGTATTCCAGCATTGGTTGCTATGTTGCATTTTTTTAAAATGTATTTAGTACAGGGTCTACAGGGTCTTACTACACAGATTGGAGTCAGAGTGATTCTCCTGTTTTCAGCCTCCCAAGCACTGGGATAACAGGTGTGCACCTCTCTGCCTAGGTCTCACTTGCAGACTCAGCAGGCCCCAGGGATGGGGCTAGCGTAGCACGCTGGGAATTGAACCCTAGTCCCTGCATCTGCCTAAGCAGGTGCTTTAGTCAAATGCTGAGCTATCTGACCAGCCCTGCCCACCAAGAATATTGAGAAGGACTTAGTTGATAAAACTCTCATTATAAACATCAGACCGAAGGTGATCCCTCCCCCGAAGTTTATGCTCTGAATATCAGCTGGAAATTTTGAAGTTTTGAGACAGGATCTTGCTATGTAGTTCAGGCTGGCCTCCAACTCATGGCAGGTCTCATGCCCTAGCCTCCCAACTGCTGGGATTAGAAGTATGTGCTATCATGCCCAGCTCCACTTGGAAACTGTCAGCCTAACAAATACCTCAGATGATTACAGGTAATTCTCAGGTCACAAAACAGATACTGACATGGAACATTTGGTATAATCTGAAGATTATCTCTTTTGTTAATCTTATGTGAAGACGATCCTTTAAGGTAACGTGGGTGTGTGGACCAGAAAGGCTGTGCAGTCAAGACTGACTTGGGTTTAAAACCAGTTTCAGTTAAAAGTTGTGTGAGTTTGTCAAGTGAAGGAACCTTTGACCTCTGTTTACTCAACTAAGAATATAATACTCAGTGTAACACATGGTAGGTGATCAGTAGCTATTTATATATCACCTTCATGCCTTGACATAACTGTAAATAAAATAAAACATTTAGCATAGATGATCTGTAAGACATTTCCAGCTCTAATAATTCTTGGTTCTCTGATTTTAATTGTATAAAACTAATATGTACTTTAAAGGTAGCTGCATAACTGCAGTGTGCTTGGTTGTCATGACTTACTGCTTCCAAAATGCCTTTTGTTGAACATAGAAATTAGAGTTTCTGATAGGAAGGCACTGTTTACCAGCTAGAGCTTATAGTTTTCTTATCTAAACTTGTTCCATTATTCAGTCTTCGCAGACTCTCCGGGGACTTACGAAGATCAGTCACCATCCCCACCTCCTCCTGTATCTCCACCTCCTGACCCAGTACCGAAGGCTGAACCTGAGCCGCCTCCTGACAAGGTAAAGTCTTGCTGGGATACTTGGGTTCCACGTGTCCGTAATTGCCCAAGTTTCTACATTTACATAACTCATGCTGTAGACTTCACAAATGCCAGTAGATGGCTCTTGTCTCATTCTGCTTTCCTACAGGTTGATAAAAATAGGGACTGATTCCTTTCTTTTCTCACCTTAAAGGGAGTGTTTGGTGTAGGTTACAATCTCAGAAAGATTTGTGGAGGTGGCTTGAGAAACTGATTTTCATGACCATTAGCATCAGGGTTGCTGTGTTACTTAAGTTTTGTTGAAATTTGGCAAGAAGTGGCCCTGCCTGCATCAGAGCAAAGTGTGAAAGAAGGTACACAAAGATACGCACATGTTGATTGCTCTTCAGAAACTTCTGAAAAAGGACCAGATGAAAAAAGTTGGCAGTAAATGGACACTTTTGAGTCCTCTTCAACTATGTCTTGTCTGACGACATCTAACATCTATGAGTGTTGGTACCAACTTGTGTTAATGTTGATAGTCATGCCTTGGTACTTATGCATTTTGGCAGTTTTGTCATGATACTCCTCTTTTCTTGGTATTTAACACACAAGCTAGAAATTGTGGTGTAGATTGTCTTATGACTCACAACCCTTCCCAGCCAAAACAGTTTCTTGGTACATGTTGCACCTCCTGGATCCAAGTAATAATGATTACTAAGGTAGCACTGTGTAAACCAAAGAGCACATACTGACAAGTTTTCTTTTTTGTGACTATTCATTTTCTTTAATTCATTATGTTAAGAGTCGCCTAAATCTCTTACTGCTCTTGTGATGAAAGACACCAACAGAGCCGGAGAGCTGGCTCAGTAGAGTAACCTCTTGCCTGGCAAGCTCAAGGGCCTGAGTTCAATCCCTGGTTCTGCCAAAAAAGAAAGAAAGAGACCAATAGATAGAAGGAAAGTGCTATTGTGTGACACATTTCCCCCTAAACCTGATGGGTCTAGTGTTGAAATGCCGAGGCTGGCTAGCCAGTGCTTGTGGCAAGGACACGTGCTGGGAAATGCCTGGGCTGGCGTGGGGGCCTCCGCTGTCTGCTCCCATCATGCTGCCCTAGTTCTCAGTACCCTGTACGTTGTACATTGTGGTCTGCTTTCTTTGTCTTTCCCCTCCGCTAAGATCCTTATCCAGTTTGTTTTTAACCATAGTGACTAGACAGCAAATGCTTGCTTACAGAAAAAATATGGTACTTTCCTCAGCCTGCTGCATCCACCTTGTAAACAGTAAAACACCAGGTGCATACATACATGGAACAGAACTTTGCTGTGTGGTAGTGTTGGTCCCCTTCATGTGAAGAGTCCCTGAAATTTTTGCTGTTTTTATGTATTGCTTCATTGGTCAACCTAACCTCATATCCTCTGATCTTCCTCTGATCTTTTAGAGCTCAAATGGAGAAAATAGAAGAAAACGAAAGCGTGTGATAAAATCTAAAACATCTGTGGATGCAGATGGCAGCATGGGTAAGACAAATTTCTGAATCCAAATCCAGAGATAGAATTATTAACAGAGAGGCATCATTATCCCCTACAGAGAAGTCCATCTCAGAGTTAAATGTGCAGAACGCACCCCCAGTGGTGCTGATACTGCTTGCTGGGGTCCGTGCTTCAGCGCAAAGTAGGCTGTAGCTGACCTCGGAGCATCTGGGTACTTGTTCGGTCCATACGCCATGAAAAACAAACCTGATGGTCTTGGGTAGTGGTCATGTCATCTCTAGTGGGAGCTCCTCTCTTTCTCTTTTTCAGTTTATTTTATTTATTTAGTACAGGATCTCACTAGTAGTGATCCTCGTGTCTCAGCCTCCCCAGCACTGGTATTATAGGCGTGCACTACCATGCCTTGTTTCTGTGGCCGGTGGGGCCTGCACAGCCTGTGGTATGGGGGATTGGACCTGGTCCCTGTGCTTGCCAGGAAGGCACTTAGACCGCCGAGCTCTGTCCCTCGCCCCTAGTGCAAGTTTCCTGATCTGTGGAGAGATGGAAGGAATGTACCTATTTTGCCTCAATGTGGAGTTATGAAGATTCAGGTGAGGTAATTTGAGGTAATTAGCTAAAAACACTTGGAAAACAATACAGAGTTAAGATGTTATCCTAGATGTTTAGGAACATTCATGTTATTAGAATGATTGTTTTATAATTTTGAACAGTGAGAAAGGAGCTCCTAAAGATGGTGAGACTGAAGAGATAATCAAGAGTCTTCCTTGGTGTTTGGCCCATTTGTTCTTAGACAGGTCTGACCAGCCAGTTTGCTTCCTGTTTTCTCTCCATAAGCTGCGTTAGGTAAAGCATGTACTTACTAGGAAGACCCAGAGGGGAATTAGAATTCAGGCCTTGCCTTGAGGCATTGGCTGATTCTTCTTTCTTAAAAAGATGGATGGGACCTGAAGAATCAACTTTTCCTAGACAGCACTGTTATTTGATCTTGAGGATGTTCTGTCAGTCGAGTGCCTTGTCTCATTATTCCTCACTGCCATTGCTCCGAAGAGATCTCTGCCATTTTGATCACAGCATATGATAGGGGGGATAAGATTCTTCTCGTGTATCTTCATGACAAATTTCTTGTGAGCCTATACATTCTTACGAAGTCTGCACTTTGGATGTTTGTTTGGGAGAGGTGTTTTTGTGATGACCTTTGTTTTGTTTTGTTTTGTTTTGTTTTTAAGCTTTTTTGTATTCTAATGTAGTTTTTTGTGGGGAAGAGATAACCTTTGAGACAGGGTCTTGATTTATAGTGCAGACTGGTCTCCAACTTAAGCAAACCTCTAGCCTCAAAAGGATGAAAACTTTAGTGCTTGTTTTTTTCCTTCTTCTCTAGAAGAAAAAAAAATGTTGTAATTCAGAGTTCATTAGGAATTTGCGCCTAATTATTTATTGTTTTATTTAAGACACAGTAGTCAAGATTTGGCGAGGTGTGGGGTGTGGACTTTTCTGCTGTCCTTCTACCAGACAGGACTATGAAGAGCCTTGGATGAAACAGTGAAAACTGCTCACATGGCTCTTTTTGTCGGGTTTTAGTCCAAGCTCAACCTAATGAATCTTGGCTCTGGTTACCAAAGGAGCTGTGTGCTCTCCTTTCTCTGCTCAGAATGTTCCAAATGTACCGGCACGGGGCTTTCCCTGCCCTGTGCTGCATCACATTTGTTCCTTGGGTTTAAAAAGCTAATCTCAGGCTGTCCAAATAGCTCAGTCAATTAAAGTGCCTGCAAGCAGGGGCAAGGGCCAGAGGTTCAATCCCTGGGCCTGCCATGCTGGCCGTGCCCCCCCCCCCCAGGGCATGCTGAGAGGGCATTTGAGACTGCACATGGTGGCGCTCGCCTGTAATTTCAGCTTTTGGGAGGTTGTAAACAGGTGGATCACTATGAGTCTGATCTAGTAGTGAGACCCTGGACACCCTGTAAACCCTTCCCTAAAATATAAAAAAGAAAAATAAATAAAAGACTAATCTTCCTTTTTTATGAGTTTGCAGCAGAGACTGGGGAATTGGACTCCTGAGATAAGTTGGGGTGAAATTCTGAACACAAAGTGGATGTCTACAAAGAAAGCAGTTGAATGGAAAAGATCCCAGGCCTGCTGTGCAGGTCCCACCCCTGGGGCACACTGAGATGGCAATTGAGACTGGGTGTGGTGGCACATGCCTGTAATCTCAATAGTTGAGAGGCTATAAACAGGAGACTCACTACGAGTCCAATGTAGTAGTGAGACCCTAGCACCCTATAGACCCTTCACTAAAGTACAGCAAAAAAATGAAAGAAAGAAAGAAATCTGATGTTATCTATGGAAAGCAGGCCTTTCAGGGGCCAGGGAAATAGCTCAGTAGAATAAGCGCTTCCCTGGCAAGCGCAAGGGCCTAAGTTCAATCCCCAGTTTAGTTCCGCCAAAAGAAGAAAAAAGCAGGCCTTTTATAATGGTAGCCAAGAAAACTAGCTAATGTTAAGCTAACATAAGGTCCTATATTTATAACCTGAAATCTCCTTTGTCCTTTAGTTTGAAATAGCTTCAGCTTTTAATACAGAAATAATCCTTTTAGCTTTTCTGGTATACTCAGTGTGCTGATTGAGAAATTGTATTGGTGCTGCCCTGACTGGTTTTGAACACCCCGAAGCAATTATTACACAAAATTGGCAATGTGACAGCCAGTGATTTCATTAAGAAATAATGAGCCAGTTGGTGCTGAAGTGTAATATTATAGACATGCTGCCATTTGAATATGGAATACAGCTTATTAAATAGGAATGGCTTATACCAACTAGGGGTGCGTTGTTTCCTTTTTCTTGATGGCTCTTCAGACTTTCCCAATTTAAGAAACTGAATAAATACCACCTCATAATTTTTAAACTAGAATCATTTTTCATATTTAAATACAAAAGTGGGCACTGACCTTTTTTTACACATAAAAAGTGTGCAGCGATGCGCCAGTGCCCTGTCCTCCATGGCCCCCTTGCCCGTCCTGTGATTGAAGCCATCGTAACAGCAAGCCTCCCTCTCCCACATGCACAGGGATTCTCGGTGCTTTATACTACCCAGTAATGGACTGTGTCAGTTTCATATTGGATGCATATCCTTCCCCAACATCTCCATTCTTGGAAAGAAAAAAGTAACAGTCATTAATGGTTGGGATCCTTCCCTCCCACTGGCAACAGCTTCTACCCGTAATGGGATAACATGGAGACTTTACAGTTAGGAGCAATTTACTGAAAAGGGCAGGGTGACCACAGCTGACATGACTGTCCACTTAGCTGCACCCTGATCAGAGTGTGAGTAGCATGAAGGACACAGGTGCTACTTGAGAGTCCCTCATAAGACAACCAAGGCAGAGTTCTCCCTATCAAGTTTCTATCAGTGCACCAAAGTTTTAAATAGTAATGTCAGCAGCTCAGACACAACTCAGTTTCACATTTTCATTACCAAGATAGCTCAAATACAGCAGCTTACAAAGGAGAGCTTGCTTGTGGCATTCCTCCTGCTTCTGGGTCTCAAAAGCAATGGGAAGAGCCGGGATCAGAAAGGAGATAGTCCTATCCCACAGGGCTGTCCTAGGAAACCTGGGCCTTTCTTGAGCCACAAAGCTGAAGTGATCAGAAGTGGCTCCGGCTGTGGACTGGACCCTCTTGGCATACTTCTCCAATGGACCCCAAAGTCTCTGACCTGGTCAGACTCTGCCTTACTTGAAGATCTTGCTACAATTGAAATTTTAGTGTAGTAATTCATGGGTAAGATTCTGAGTTTCTAATAAGCTCCCAAGAAATTCTAATATGTCTGGCTTAGGGTGGACAGTTTGAGAAATAATGCCTTCAGAAACACTTAATAGATCTATTGTGTTTTGTTTTGTTTGGCAGTACTAGGGATCAAAGTCAAGACCTTGCACTCTCAAGGCAGGCACTTATGCCGCTGAGCCATCTCCCCAGCCCCAATAGGTCAAATTGTATAAGTTCAGTGTTTGTAAACTCCAGTTAATTTAACACTGGCAAATGTATTCCTTCTTGTATTGACAAAATAAATGGAAGGAAACAAAATTACATGTGGACAATAATGATCCGGTCTTTTGACTTTCTTTTTATTTATTTTTTTAATGTGTTTGGTACAGGGTCTTGCTACGCAGCTTGGATTTGTAGTGATCCTCCTATTTTCAGCTTCCCAAGCACTGGGATTACAGGTGTGTGCCACCCTACTCCCAACTCCTGGCAGATCCTCCTGCTTCAGCCTCTTGAGTGCTGGGATTATAGGTGTAGGCCACCACACTCAGCCATAGCACATTAAAATTTTTTTAATTTTGAGAAAAGGTTTTATTAAATTTCCAGGTTGGACTTCAATTTATGATCTTCCTAGCTCAGTGTTTCTGTTGGAGAATTGTATAATTCAGTCACTTCCTAAATAATTGTTGATAGCTGTATAAATTTTGCAGCTACACAAATGATCATAGAAAATGAATTTTTAAAACCTACTTGATATCTGTTTAAAACTTAGGCTCTTTTAAGTGGCCAGCAGTCATCCAAGTGAGTTTTATGCTCTTTAAAGTAAAGATAAATTCTGGGAACTGTTGGGGAGGGGGGTTGTCAATTACATAATCCTGGTAGGACTAGATGGATAAAGGAGAAAGAGCGCGACAATGTGGCGGTCGGTTTTCCTACCCCACCGTCCATTATAAAGGAAAATACAGCATTGAAGACTTGCTCAGAGCTAGTAGGTACGTCATCTATCCCAAGGGGCACTGTAACCCTCATGTTAACAGGGGAAAAGAACACTAATTTGCAAAGTGTCATCTCCAGACCAGCAGCATCACTGTCATCTGGAAACGTGTTTTAAAAAATAATAATAGTTTCTTAGGTCCTGCCCTAGACTTGCCAAATCTGAAACTTTTAAAGTAAAATCCAGTAATCTGTTTTTTTAACAAGCATGCCACATGATTCTGATGAAAGTTAGGAGCGTGTCTTAAATTGCAAGCTAGGTATTAAAACATATGTTTAAATCCAAAGTTTATAGCTCTAGAACAGTTTGACAAATGTTTTTTATTAGAATTATCTGTAGGGCTGGGGAAATAGCTCAACAGCTTAAGTACCTGCCTGGCAAGTGCAAGGTCCTGAGTTCAGTCCACAGTACCAAAAAAAAAGAAATGTTTTAAAAAGGATTTTCTGTAATTAAGATCTTGAAGCTATTGTTCTTTAATGGGAAGCTACCTTTTTCATTAATCAAGCAGTTATGATACAGAGTAGATTACTGTTTTCAGTTAAGATGATTTCCTTCACTATAACTTTATTGTTTGCTGCAGCAAGATGGGCTGAGGAAGAATTCAGATGGCACTGCTGTGGCAGCCCTACAGGCACAGGAAGTGTGCTTTGTGCTGTGACTTGTGGTGGGTGGGTGTAATCCAGTAGTATTGAGAGGCCCCTGGAGTTCTAGGTCATGGCTGGAAACTACTGTTTGGGGCTTGTTCCTTTGGGGTCGCTCATATGGACTGCTCGCTGGTAAGTTTCTTTCCAAGTTTCTCTTTTGGGAAGGGTTTGGATAGTTTTAAGGACAGAAGGAAAGGCAGTTGATGGCTTTGGCTGATAAGAAAACGGATAACTTTGTTTCTCACTTTATCCAATCTTAAGTACTGATAATTTTTTCTAACATATTAGTCAAATTTTCAAGAGCTTTAGAATCGAATATATTTGTTTTAATATGCAGTGTGCCATTTATATATGCTGTAAAACTTTACCATGCATCAGAATCACTTGAGTGCTTGTTAAAGCACAGATTGCCAGATTTGATGCAGAACTCAGATTCAGATAACTTCCTCAAAACTACCAAGTGTGTCTGTCATCTGTGTGAGTTATCTTTATGATATAGACTCTTACTAAATCTTGTGTTGATAATCATTCAAACTTAAGAACTGAGAGTTGCTGTAATAATGTCCAGCTCTCTGTACTAAAGATGTGCAGAGAGGTGACAGACAGAAGTATAGTGCCAGCCAAGGAGGTCTGTAGTGGTGAGTCTTGCTCAACAGTGTGGGACTGGTCTATGTCGACGTAGTAGCAAGTACAACGGCGAATTCTGAAGATGCTGCCCAAAGGAAACAGTGGTTCTGGAAGAGGGGGGAAAGGGGGAGCAGCCTCAGGGAGTGATAGTGCTGACAAGAAGGCTCAGGGCCCCAAAGGTGGTGGAAATGCACTAAAGGTCCGACACATTCTGTGTGAAAAACACAGCAAAATTATGGAAGCCATGGAAAAGTTAAAGTCCAGGATGAGATTCAGTGAAGTGGCCACACAGTATAGTGAAAATAAAGCCAGGCCAAGGGGGTGACTTGGGTTGGATGACCAGAGGCTCCATGGTAGGACCATTTCAAGAAGCAGCATTAGCCTTGCCTGTGAGTGGAATGGATAAGCCTGCATTTACAGACCCACCAATTAAGACAAAGTTTGGATATCATATTATTATGGTTGAAGGGAGAAAATAAAATTACGTGAAAAATTAAAAAAAAAAAAAAGTGTGGGACCAAAGACTCAAGAGCAAGAAAACCAGCAGTGACAGTCAGCAAGCACCGTGAGTCAGAGGTAAGACTCAGAAGCTAGTCGAAGCCTGGTGTTATAAGTGGGTGTTTGAGACAGTCCAGATACAGAGCTTAGGAAGTTGGCTGGCATAGACCAGGACCCAGCGGATCTGGGCAATTAATGAAAAAGGCTTACTTAATGTCATGGGACATAGGAGGAGGAGGAGGAGGAGGAGGAGGGATTAGGTCTCAGCCCTTCCTAGAAGCTTTGTGAGCTCAGGACCCACATACTTTTACTCAAGACTAGATGTCATCTCCTTTAGGAAAACAGAGATTCATTATCAAATGTGCAGGACACCTTATTCTCCTGATAAACCCAGTCATGTTCCCTTTTTTTTCTTCTTCTTCTAGTGACTGAAAAAATCTTTGAGAGTGAATCTTGCACTGATAGTGAAGAGGAGCTTAGGACCAAGACAGCCTCTGGACACAGACCCCCTGCCATGCCTGTGAAAAAAGAGCCCAAAGAGGAACGAAAGGGCTCTAAGAAAGGGACTGCTGCTCTGGGCAAAGCCAACAGACAAGTGTCCATCACTGGCTTCTTCCAGAGGAAATAAAATGCCAGTTGTGGCAGGTCAGAGACTTAGAGTGGTCAAAGGAGAAGACCAAGTATAGATTCACTTACTGTGTAAGTCTGTCTGTCCTCTCATTCCTCACCTCACCCGCATTGAGAGACTGTCCTTCCAACCTGTGAAGTTTATGCTGTTACTGGTTTTTAACCTAAAAGGAGTCACCTGCAAACAGGAGGCAAAATAATATTTAAAAAATGCATAGAGGGTGCCGGGGAGATGGCTCAGTAGAATAAGTGCTTCCCTGGCAAGTGCAAGGGCCTGAGTTCAATCCCTGGTTCCTCCCCCCACCCCCCCAAAAAAAATGCATAGAGAAATTCACTCCAAAATTAAATCCGAACACATTCAGATTTCCCCACTGTGCCTCCCTTCTCACCCTTTGCCCTGACCTCTTACTGTTCAGAAAGATTCCTTCAGGTCCCTCTGTAGTCTGTGAACTTGTGTAGGTGTTTTTGTCCTTGAATTCTACCAGATGTGTTTGTTCTCCCCAACCTCCTCTCCCAACTATGACACTTCTGTCCCCTAGTCCCATGAAGCTGTTTTCTATAAATCTTTTAAATTTTGGTTGAACCAAAAGCCAAAACAAAAATCTTCCCATGATC